GAGTCCTGCATCCGGCTCCCTGCTCCTTGGGAGCCTGCTTCTCCCTCTGCCTCTCTCTCTCTCTCTGTCTCTCATTAATAAATAAATAAAGGGCGCCTGGGTGGCTCAGTTGGTTAAGCGACTGCCTTCGGCTCGGGTCATGGTCCCCCGAGTCCTGGGATCGAGTCCCGCATCGGGCTCCCGGCTCGGCGGGGATCCTGCTTCTCCCTCTGACCTTCTCCCCTCTCATGCTGTTTCTCTCTTTCTCTCTCAAATAAATAAAATCTTTTTTTAAATAAATAAAATCTTTTAAAAAGTAAAATAAAATAAAAAATAAAAATAAAAAGACTGACCCTACCAAATATTGGTGAGAATTTAGTGCAGCTGGAACACTCACACGCTGCTAATGGTAATGTAAAATGGTAGAATTTCTTTGGAAAACAGTTTGGCGATTTCCTTAAAAGTTAAATATACATCTACCATATGATCCAGCCATTCTACTTCTAGGTATTTACCCAAGAGAAAGAGAAACCTATGTCCATACAAAGACTTGGTCATGAATATTTTATTCGTGATAGTTAAAAGATGGAAACAACTGGGACCTGGCTGGCTCAGTTGGAGGAGCATGCGACCCTTGATCTCAGGGTTGTGAGTTCAAGCCACACATTGGCTGTAGAGATTACTTAAAAATAAAATCTTTTAAAAAAAAATCTTTAAAACAACAACAAAACCAGGTGATTATTTAAAAAACATCTGCTACAAGCCAAAAGAAACAACCTAAATGTCTACTGAAACAAGAATGCATAAAGAAATTGTAGTGGATCCATAGAGTGGAATACTACTTAGCAATAAAAAGGAATCAACTATTGATAGATGCAATGACATGGATAAATCTCAAAATCATTATGTTGAGTGAAAGAAGTGAGATTAAGAAAAAAGACTGCAGGGCACCTGGGTGGCTCCATAGGTTAAGCGGCTGCCTTTGGTTCAGGTCATGATCCTGGGGTCCTGGGATCGGGCCTAAGTCAGGCTCCCTGCTCAGCGGGGAGTCTACTTCTCCCTCTTCCTCTGCAGCTCCCCTTGCTTGTTCTCTATCTCTCACTCTCTCTTTCTCTGACAAATAAATAAAATCTTTAAAAAGAAAGAAAGAAAGAAAGAAAGAAAAGAAAAAGGAAGAAAGAAAAAAGACTGCATGCTATATTATCCCATTTATATAAGATTCTAGAAAATAAAATCTAATTTATAGTAACACAAAGCAGACCGGCAGTGGTTATATGGGGATGGGTGGGAAGGGAGGTGTGGGGGGAG